GGCCGAGCTGCTGGGAGGTGCATGCCCAGTGTGCGACTGTGCAGTCAGCTGGCTGTGGCAGCTGGACACAGCAGTGCTCCTGCACCAAACGGTGCCAGCTGTGCTGGGTCGGTGCTGCTGGGTCAGTGCTGCTGCCAGCCAGCCTCTGCCACCTCAGGGTGCCCATCCCTGGGGCGTCCAGCCTTGAACCCGCCCTTGTGTCCACAGTCTGCGCCTTGCAGTGCCAGCGGTTCCTCATCTCCAGGGTGGGTGAGGACTGGGTCTTCCTCATACTGCTGGGACTGGTCATGGCACTGGTCAGCTGGGCCATGGATTTCGCCATCGCCACCTGCCTCCAAGGTAGGTGGGTACCCGTGGGCTCCTGGGGCCATGGCAGGGAGTGGCCGTGCCACAGGGCCATGCCATGTGCCATAGGGCCATGCCGTGTGCCCTGCCACCCACCACCCCTCTGACTGGCTGTCCCCACAGCTCAGAAGTGGATGTACGGGGGCCTGGACACCAACGTGCTGCTGCAGTACATGGCCTGGGTCACCTACCCCACTGTGCTCATCACCTTCTCTGCTGGCTTCACACAGATCCTTGCCCCCCAGGCCGTGGGTAGGGCATCAAGGGGCTGCCTGCACCCTAAACTGGCTGTCCACTCCCTGGGGCTGTGCCTGGGTGTCTCCCTGCAGGTTCTGGGAGCCTTTCTAGGAATATGGGCTGGTATTCAGAGGGTCTCCTAGGGACTATGGTTTAGATGCCATCCTGAGCTGTGGGGTTGGGGATCTTCTAACGCCTGTGAGAGAGAGAGGCCTTCAGAGAGTCTCCTGTGAGTTGAGGGGTGGATTTCCTCCAGGGCTATGAGGCTTGCAGGCTTGGGGGTCTTCCTAGGGCTAAGACCTGATCTTCAGAGGATCTCCTGGGGGCTGTGAAATTGGGGTCCCTGTGGGGCTGTGAGTTGAATTGCCTCATAACCACATAACCATGGGGGTGTCCCTGCCAATTGTACTGTGGGAAAAGGAGTTTCTGGGACCTTCCTGTGGCAGTGGGGTATGGCAAAGCATCAAGGGTTAGCCCCCAGAAGCATGGGGCAGTGTCCCCCCTTCATGGCTATTGGTCAAGGCTGTCCCCACACCACCAGGCTCAGGGATCCCCGAGATGAAGACCATCCTGCGGGGCGTTGTGCTCAAGGAGTACCTCACCTTCAAAACCTTTGTGGCCAAGGTGATCGGACTGACATGTGCCCTGGGCAGTGGCATGCCCCTGGGCAAGGAGGTGAGGGCAGTGCTGGGGCAGGGTGAGCAGGGGACAAGGGAGTGAGGCTGAGAGCAATGTCCTCAGTCTCCCTTTGTCCCCTCAGGGTCCCTTTGTCCACATCGCCAGCATGTGCGCAACCCTGCTCAGCCGCTTCCTCTCCCTCTTTGGGGGCTTCTATGAGGTGAGCAAGGCAGGCTGGTCCCAGAAGGATCAACCTGTGCCCACAGCAGGTTTGGCAGTGCCTAGGGTTGGGGGGCAGTGCCCACTCACTCCTCTCTCCTGCACAGAATGAGGCAAGAAACATTGAAATGCTGGCAGCTGCCTGTGCTGTCGGTGTTGGCTGCTGCTTCGCCGCGCCCATCGGAGGTAGGGTCACCCCGGGCCGCCCCACAACCCCCACACCTCCTGCCCAGGCAGCAGGGTCCACCTGGAGAGGCAAGCAGGACCCCGGGACAGCTGGCATGGGAGAGGGCAGTGCTGCTCGGCAGGGAGGAGGAAGGGAGGAGCGGGCAGCACCCTCCCAGATGTGTAACGTCCGCTCTTATCCTCTCCCCTGCCGCCTGCGCTCCAGGGAGCTCCCCGCTCCAGCCCCGCTGAGCCCTGCCCGTAGGTTGGTGACGTGTCTGACTCTCTCCTTGCCCTTTGCCTGCTGCCCTGTCTGTCTGTCTGTCCATCTGTGTGCACCCCACTCCCACCCCTCGTGTCGCTGCCCACATCCCTGTGCTAGCCTCTCGCTCGTGCTGTGCCCGCTGTGCTGTGCCCTCTGTGCTTTGCCAGGGAATCCCTTAAACCACCCTGTAGTGTGTCCGTGGGGCAGCCAGACCCCCGTGGGCTGTGCACGAGTGTGGAGTCCGGGTGGGACGCGTGCCAGGCACCAGGGCCTGCCTGGGTTTCTCCACCTCCCTTGTGCACTTCCCCCCATGCCAGGCGTCCTCTTCAGCATCGAGGTCACCTCCACCTTCTTTGCCGTCCGCAACTACTGGCGCGGCTTCTTCGCTGCCACCTTCAGCGCCTTCATCTTCCGTGTCCTTGCTGTCTGGAATAAGGATGAAGGTACCTCAGGCAGGGTGGGGGCACAGGGGTCCCCTGCCCAGCCCTACTGAGCTCCACCATCCCCCAGAGACAATCACGGCGCTGTTCAAAACCCGCTTCCGCCTCGACTTCCCCTTTGACCTGCAGGAGCTGCCTGCCTTTGCCGTCATTGGGTGAGTGTGGCTGTCCCAGCACCCATCCTGTGGCCCCAGGGGTGGCAGTGGTGGCTCTGGTGGCACTAGTGGCACTGGTGGTGCTGGTGGTGGCAGCAGGACACCTCTTCCCTTGGCTCTGCCCAGGATCGCCAGCGGTTTCGGGGGCGCGCTCTTCGTCTACTTCAACCGCAAGATTGTGAAGTTCATGCGCCGCCAGAAGGCCATCAACCGCTTCCTCATGAAGAAGTAGGTGCCCAGCAGTGCCCAGCTGCAGGTTGGTGGAGCTGGGGCTGCACCAAAATCACCCCCTGCCCTGTGCCCCCTGCCAGGCGCCTGCTCTTCCCCGCCCTGGTGACGCTGATCATCTCCACGCTGACCTTCCCGCCCGGCTTTGGACAGTTCATGGCTGGCCAGGTACCTGCCATGGGGTGGCACACCTGTCCCCACCCCAGGGCCACCACAAGCCACAGCTGACCCCTGCCCATCACCAGCTCACCCAGAAGGACACCCTGGTGACACTCTTTGACAACCAGACGTGGACCAAGCAGGGGATCAATGATGAGTTTGAGTACTTGGGCATCCTGGAGGCCTGGCTCCATCCCCGCTCCAACGTCTTCGTCACACTTGTTGTCTTCATCCTCATGAAGGTGGGTGCCTACTTCCCCTGCCATCCCCAAGGTACCACCAGGAGGTAATGGAGAGGATTTTCTGGATGCCATCAGGGAGGTGCCAGATTGTTACCAGAAAGGTGGCACCAGAAAAGGTGGTACTGGGTGGCTGCTCCAAGAGTCCACCAAGGTGTTTGCTGGGTGGTGCTGGCATGCCATCAAAGAGATCTTGGCTGGGAGCCACCAACATGCCACCAGGGAGGTTCTGGCTGCTTGCTCCTAGGTGCCACCAGGGAGGTGCTGGCCAGATGCCACCAAGTGCCACCAGGAAGGAGCTGGCAGGGTGCCCCTGGGAGGAGGCCATGCCCCGTTGCAGGGTGTGGTGTCCACGTGCTGCTCGACAGCACCCAGCTGAGGGTCACAGAAGGGGCAGGAGGCAGGGCTGGGTCAGGGAGGGCAACTAATGGGTGTCTGCTCCACAGTTCTGGATGTCAGCCTTGGCCACTACCATCCCAGTGCCCTGTGGAGCCTTCATGCCTGTCTTCGTCATTGGTGAGACCCTGCCCCCTGTGTGGGCACAGTGGGAGGAGGGAGCCACCTCTCAGCCCACACTGGGCACCCATGGGTGCCCCCAGATGTCCCCTTCCCTGGCAGCACCAGGCAAAGGAGAGGGCATGAGGCTGGGCTTGGTACTGGGAGAGCCCTGAGCCCGTTCCCAGCCCCTCTGTGCCTGCAGGGGCGGCCTTTGGGCGCCTGGTGGGGGAGAGCATGGCAGCCTGGTTCCCTGATGGCATCCAGACGGACAGCAACACCTACCGCATCGTGCCGGGGGGCTATGCCGTGGTGGGTAAGCTCTGAGCCAGAATGGGGACGCCTTGGTGGGCATCATTTGGAGACGCTGCCCCACAGCTGAGGTGGTGATCCCTGGAACTGGGAGCGATGCCACCACTGGGAATGTCCCCGCATGGTCCCAAGGGCTCCCCATATGTGGTGGGTGCCCTGGAGAGGGAACCCAGGGTGGGGACCCAGCCTGGTGGGCAATACCTGACAGTCCTCCCCCATCTCCTGGCGGTGGCCGCAGGAGCAGCCGCACTGTCGGGTGCTGTCACCCACACGGTGTCCACGGCCGTCATCGTCTTCGAGCTGACGGGGCAGATGTCGCACATCCTGCCCGTCATGATTGCTGTCATCCTGGCCAATGCCGTCGCCCAGAGCCTCCAGCCCTCCCTTTACGACAGCATCATCCGCATCAAGAAGCTTCCCTACCTCCCTGAGCTGGGCTGGGGCCACCACGAGTGAGTTTGTGTCCCCTGTCCCAACCCCAAACCCCTCACCGAGGCACTAGGGCAGGTGGTGGCATTACTCTGAGGCCGCTGTTCTTGTCCTGGGCAGGAAATACAACGTGCGGGTGGAGGACATCATGGTGCGGGACATCCACTACGTCACCCTCAACTGCAAGTACCGGGACCTGCAGCAGGTCCTGCACAGCACCAAGATGAAGAACCTGCCTCTGGTGGAGTCAGCTGGTGAGACACAGGCAGGGGCTCTGCCAGCACCCACGGCAGCCGTGGAGCGTGCCATGGGTGGGTGGGTGGCAGACGGAACATCAGGAGCCAGTGTGGCACCTTGCTGTGTCTGCAGAGTCCATGATCCTGCTGGGCTCCATTGAGCGGGCGCAGGTGGGGGCCCTGCTCAGCACCCAGCTCAGCCCCCAGCGCCGGCTGCTGATGCTGCGGCAGAACGTGCTGCCCGAGGATGGGCATCAGCTCTCTGATTCCAGCCTCCGCTTCCAGGTGAGGGCTGCAGCCGTCCTGGGGGATGCCTGGCCAGGGTGCCCCCCACCACCATCACCCAACACTCATTCCCCCACAGGTCAGCACAGAGACCTCCTCGGGCGCCCCTGCCCGCACCTCACTCCGCAAGCCCCTGAAGCCAGCACTGAAGCGGGCGTCCAGCAGCCCGGCCGACAGCCCCCCAGGTGAGTCTGCATGTGGCCCCTGGCCCCCGTGTCCCCACCACTGACACCCCCTCTCCTCCCGCAGCTGGCGGCACTGACCAGACTGGCATCGCCCTCAAGAGCCTCTTCTGTGCCAATGCCACCCCAGAGGCCTTCGAGGTGAGAGCCTGTCCCTCCCCAGCCCTTCCCATCCCTTAATGGCCTTGCCTGGCCCCTCCCATCCTTGAATGGCCTTGCCTGGCCCTGCCCAGCCCTGCCCATTCTTGTCACATCCCTTTCCATTCCTGTTCAACCCTGCCTGTCCCTTCCCATCCCTTTCCATCATTTTCTATCCCATCCCATCCCATCCCATCCCATCCCATCCCATCCCCTAACTGCTGTCTCTCCCGGGCCAGGCCCAGGGCACAGCCTATCACAAGGCCAAACGCGTCCGTATTTCCATTGTGGTAAGCTGCAGCCAATCGCAGCCTGGGCACAGCTCCTCCCAGCCAATCAGAGCCTGGCAGGAGTTCTCTGAACCAATCAGGGACCTGGCAAGATTCTGCTTGGCCAATCATGTTGGGCCAGTATCTGTGCAGTCAATCTTGGACAGTTACGATTCCACCCAACCAATCCTGGTGTGCATTCTCCCCATTCCAAACCCTCCCAGGAATCAGGATGTGGAGCCTTCCAGCCATCACAACCGCGAGATCCGTCCCACTTTGCTCAGCCAATCATGGCACACCTTGCATTCTCTCCACCAATCACAAGCTTGGCTTGTCCAACTGCAGCAAATCAGGGTGTGACCGATGTCCTGTCAACCAATCACGTTCCCTGACCTGCCCACTGCTGCTTGTTCCCTGCCTGTACCCTCGCCTGCCCTGCCTGCATGTGCTGCCTCCACCCTCGCTGTTCCCCACCGCTCCCTGCCCGCAGCGACCTCAGGGCTGTGTCAACACACCTCTCTTGCAGGAGGAGATGATTCTGGGTGACAAGATGACCCCAGCAGAGGTGAGGGGTTGGGCAGAGACAGGCGGGATCCTCCTGCTCAGAGGGATCCCAAAGGGGTGCCAGAGCATGAGGTGGGCATGGGGAAGTGGGGGATGGATAATCCAGACTTCTCCATAAGACCAGGCGTAAGGAGGATGTAAGGTGTATGGAGGATGAGAGGTGTGGTAAGGTGTAAGGAGGATGGGAGGGCCCTTGTGGGGAGGCTGTACCCCTTACCCTGCCCCATGGCCCCTCCCCAGATCCGGGAGTGGGAGGAACAGCAGCTGGACCAGCTGGTGGACTTCAGCAATGCCAAGATTGACCCCGCACCCTTCCAGCTGGTGGAGCACACCTCGCTGCACAAGGTGCACCCTCACCCCATCCCAGATCCCCACCCACAACCCCCAGACCCGCAACTCATCCCCTCCTCCTGCAGACCCACACCATCTTCTCTCTGCTGGGCCTGGACCACGCATTTGTCACCAGCATTGGGCGCCTGGTGGGCATGGTGTCCCTCAAGGAGGTGAGCTGGGGACAGGGCAGCTGGGGGGGCACAGAGCAGCACCTGGAGCTGTTTGCCCATGGGTTTGGGGTCCCCACAGCTGCGCAAGGCCATCGAGGGCTCCCTGACGGGCAAGGGGGTGAAGGTGCGCCCGCCGCTCGCCAGCTTCCGCGACAGCACCGCCAGCTCCAGCGAGGCCGACACCGCGGCCCTGCGCCGGTTCTGGGAACGCCACCAGCACCACCACATGCCCCGCGAGGCTGGCCCTGGCGGCGACGAGGATGACAACACCCCCAAGGGCCAGTGAGACCCTTGAGACCCACCCCCTGTGTCCCCAGAAGCCACAAGGGCCCCCTGGCAGGTGCTGGGGTGTGCCCACCCTGAGCCCGCTGATGCCAGGCTCAGCACAGCAGTGGGCACTCTCAGTCCAGTGCCTCTGCCCCTCCCTGGGCTGGGGAGCAGCCAAATGATCCCAGCCAGCCCTTGCTCCCCAGCGACCTGCCAGCTCTTGGGGCTTCCCACTTTGCTACCTCTGTACCCCCCCAGCCCCCGGTGCCCCCCAGAATGGCCACTGCCCTCACACCCTCCATCAGCACCGCAATGTCCCTTCTCAGGGTGGCACGGGGCGGAGAGGGGCATCAGGTTGGGGTGTCCACGGGGACATGGGTGGGCATTGCCCCCTGTGCTCAGCCCCTCATGGCTGAGAACAGGGGGTCCTGCTGCCTCTCTGCTGTGCACCTCTCCCCATGTAAATACAGAGATTTTTATATTAATTTAATAAAAGGACTTTATAAACAGAGCTGTAGCACTGTGGGGTTGGAGGTGGAGAGGGCCACAGCCAGTGGGCACCAGCTGAGCTTCACCACGGCGCTGGGGTTGGCAGGCTCCGGGCAGGACGCGTTTTGTCCCCGCTCACAGCACAGCCTCGCTGCGGTGCAGCCCCTGCGGGCGCTGCCCAGGGCCGGGGCTGGCACGGCGCTGCACAGTGATGACCAGTGTGCCAATCTCGGTGAGGGCACAGCTCACCGACAGCGGGTCTGTGTCCTCGGGCAGCTGGCACTTGTGGGTGAAGGTGTCACAGACGGTGCCATCCTCAGCCACCTGCGGGGAGGCAGCAGCAGTGCCGTGGCACGGTGGACTCCACAGCACATTCCCTGTTACCCCAGTGCTTCTAATGGGCAGTCCCAGACACCCAGGAAAGATCCCAGTGACTCCAGGGCAATTCCCAGTTACCCCATTGCCAGCAGGCCTCTGCTGCCCAAGTCTGGGCTTGTGGGGTAAATTCCAGCTACTTCAGTGCCAGCAGGAACTGTTCCTCTTTGCCACGTCCGGCAGGGAAGGCAATGGAGCAGGAGTTCCCACTTGTCCCATTCGCAGTGAGGACAGTTCCCAGTTACACCAGTTCAGGACAGGTGCAGTAGAGCAGGAGTTGCCTGTTGTCCCATCGCCAGGCACAGCTCCCGTTTACCCCAGTGCTACCAAGGGCTATTCCCAGTTCCCACCCATCCCCACCACCCACAGGAGGGGTGTCCTGGGACAGGACCCCCATTGTGCTGTGGCCAGAGGGGGTGCTGCCCCCACAGGTGCCTCACCTTTTCTGCCTGGATGGTGACGTGGCAGTTGGAGGTGGTCACCACAATGTCAGGGGGCTCAAACTGGCTGACGTCGGCCACCACTTGGTAGGTGTCACCCTGGGCACGCACCCAGGTGCCCAGGCTGCAGGGGTACATGGCACCTGGGGACTCTGTGGGCATTGGAGGGCTGCTGGGCATGGGGCCACAATCCCCAGGGCCTGGACACTGGCGAGGGAGGGCTGGGGGTAGCAGGGGGCAGTGGGTGTCTGGGGATATTGAAGGTGCTGGGGAATTGCAGGGGGAACTGGGGGTCTCAGGGGTAAAGGGATACTGGGGGCCTGGAGGGGTAGTGGGTGGGCACCTGAGGGCACTGGGAGATTCTAGGGGCACTGGACAACCTGAGGACAGCAGGGGAATCGCACAGGAGGGTGAAGGAAAAACTGTGGAGGGTTCCAGGGACAAAAGGAGAATCAAAAGGGTCTGGGGAGAGGGAGGAGGCAGCATGGTAGTCCTCGAGACAGCAGGGACACTGGGGTTATTTGGGACTTACAGGAGGAGCACAAAAGCACCTGGGGAGTGGGAGCTGGACAGTCCAGAGAGCCATGGGGCACCGGGGGACAGTCAGGGTGCCCCTCTGAGCCCTCCCAGCTGGTGTTCGGGTGACTCCCACGCTGTCCCCAGGCACAGGTCAGCTGGATAACCCTTGGGGGGACCATCCCCAAAGCAGCAGGGCTTCCCCAGGGTAGCAGCGCCGCTCCTCCATCCCACACCCTCCCCGCCCGGTACCTGGGTACCCAAACGCCTCCTGTCCCCGTGCCCCGAAGGCTCC